TGACTAATGGTGTGACCGAGAGACTTTTAAGAAAAACAAGTCAGTTTTTGAAAAGAAATTCAGATTTTTTTTTAAAGATAGGCACCGTTCTTCTGACTTCTCTCGACCCCATTTTTAAATAGAATTCTCTTTTATAATACGTAACCTATTTTATCACCTTCAATATGTATTCATTTTTATTCAAATGATTTTAACATTAAAATATTTTCACATTGGATCATTTAATTACGTTTTAAATTTATAAACATTTTTTTATTTCTCTCGCGTATAGATGAGCAATTGCTTCATCATATCACTTTTAAATTGCTTGGTTATCCAAAAACTTAAGAATCTATTCTCTCTAATGTTACGATATCTTTACCATTAAGCCTGCTACACACATATTTACGATACGAGTGTTGGTTAAATTATACAGTTTTCAGTTCTGCCCACACAGGTACGATTAAACAGAATAGTCCGACTGTTCAATTAAAATTGAAAGGGTGTAGCCGGCTTAATATAATTGTCTAATTATTTTTCCTAAATCATGAATGAATATAAATGATAATTATATTTGTAAAATTATAATTCAAATAATATATGGTGATCAAAAATTTTATAAATATTTTTTTTCTATATTTAACGTCGTTAAATTTCTAATACTATTCGTATGTACATGGCAACTATTGTAACCGAGTCACGGAGAGGCTTTACAACGAAAAATGAATTAAATCCTTTCTGCGAAACGAACTTGTGTCATCTCTATTCCTTCCATTGTTATGTAAACTTGTGTGGAAATTTTGACAATAATACTAACTTGATATATTGTTTCCTTTTAAAATTGTTTGTATAATTTATGTTAGTTCATATATTGTATGTCTATTGTTGTGGATTTAAGCTGAAGTAGCAGTTCTGTAAAATTGTTATCCTTCTCCCTCTCTTTTTTTTATATTAAAAGGTGGCAAACGAGCGAGCGGCCACCTGAAATCGCTGAAATAGCGAAGTGACCGTTGCCCATAGACATACGCAATTGCATATGCGTTGACTACCTTTAATAGACGGAGGAGAGGATGCACAGAAAAAAAAATATCTTCCCTTTCCATGCATCCTCTCATCCGGAAAGTCCACTTCCACTTCCCATCCTTTCCTTATAAGAAATAGGATGGGAAGGGAAAGAGGACTAAATTAGGCCTCCGGGACACACACTCATCAGACGAAACGCGTAATTGCTTCCACTTCACGCCTGTCTTCTGTGTGGTCGTGGTATTTCACCGGGCGAGCCGGGTCGTTTCGTGCGAATATGTTAAAGCGGGCTCTACCACTGTTAAAAGAAACAAAGACAACTCAATTTTACAGTACTTTTTAGGGTTCCGTACTTCGAAAGGATAAATACGGATACAGGATCACTTTGTTGTCCATCCCTCTGTCTGTTAGTACTATTTTTAAATAGTATTAGGTGGAAAACGATTAACGATTAATTCAATAATGAAGTGACCGCGGCCTGTAGATGTTCTCATCTGCAGATGCATTGCTTACTTTTAATCGTAAAGGAGAGTACGCACATGTTGAGGATATTTTCTTCAGATAAATCCACTTCCTTTCCCATCATTTCTTTATAAGAAAAGGCAAGGGTTAGGAGACTATAGTTTGGTCTCAGGCTACCCTCTTTAGATTGAAACGCGGAATTGCTTCCACTTCTTGCCTGTTTTCTGTGTGCTTGTGGTCTTTAACTGGTTAAACTGGTCTATTCGTGGAACAGATGTTGTCGGCTCTACCACGGTTATATATTTCAAATCTATAATATTGTTTTAGTTGAATGATTTACCATCAAGTGCATTTAGTTGTATAAATATTGATTTGTCTTTGAGATGCAAAGCTATAATTTGCAATTCAGTTTACGTAGACCAATGCATAAGTAAACACACACATAAGGAAATCTTTATAGCACACACAAATATAGCTCCATATAGCCTTAATCACTTAAATAGGTAACTTATACGTTGTGAGCTAACGACTACCTTTTGTGCGAATTTTGTTGGTTATATCGTTAGTACCAGTAAACACTATATGGAGAATACGACCAGCTATCGCCCGCGACTCCGACCGCGTGGAATCAAAAAAAAACTTTATTAGTTCTCGGCAAATATTATTATTATATTTTACTCACCTATTAAACCTTCCCTAGACCTCCAGGAATATATCAAGACCAAGTTAAGATGAATCCATTCAGCCTTTCTCGGGTTTTAGCGAGACTAATTAAGTTAAGAAATGTTCCACGATCTTTTTCTTCGTTTAATATTTATCTCCATCCAAATCTTTAACAAGGAAATTTTATTCACAGCTGTCGTATGCATATTACAAACGTTAATTATGCATCAAGGAACAAGTTTGACGTCATCTGGTGTCTAACGCGCCTTTGAATTAATGTTTAGAGCCGCTTTTCTGAGCAAAAAGTGTTGTAGGAGAAAAAAATGATGATCATCGTTGAATTAAGGTAATTAGAGTAAATTTAATTATAACAACAACTGTAAACTTACGCATACGCAGTTTCGGCTACTCTTAATACCATTCTTGCTTAGAATGTCACCAGTTCTGATGGCACATTTTGATTTATTAAACTTTTCGGAAACAACTTAAAAGCTTTTTGACTTTCTTACGCACAATCTTATGAGGACAATCTTTGTCTTGGCTCTGTCTTAAATAAATTTCCCACTTACCCAACAACAAGATAACTCACGCACCTAACCCAGAGGAGTAGACAGAGATCACGCATCTCCATTGGCATGTTCCTGACACATAATATATGAACGAATGAACTATTAAATACAATTGAATGAGTGATTTTCTGCAACGAACTTAGATATGTACAGATTTGATTCAATAACAAAAATATTCCAAGAGTTAAGAAAATGTATGTGGGGCTAGAAGATTGTAGAATTAATTTTTTCCCTAACCGTTGCGTTTTCTTTGGATAAGCTCCAAAATTTTGTGGACGAAATGGTACATTAGCAGTTATTATATTATAAAGCTTATTATTTTGTCGAGAAAATCTCGTTGAATATGAGAAAATTTTAGGTTAATAAGTCTTGAATATTACAATTTAA